CATGCGTCAGGGTGTTACTCTGTCATTGCAAGGACTCTAAATGAGTGCCTAACCACCAGGGCTTCTCTTGCAACAGAAGAGAAAGTCCCATTACAAGATTTTTTTTTACATTATAGCCGAATTACTCAGCCCATATTAGATTTTCTAAAAAATAAATAGTGTTGTTGAAACTTGATAACCTCATAAATATTAAGGGCCTTTTAGACCTACACATTTACAGAGCAGAGCCACTTTAAACAATAATTATGTAGTAATTTTAATGTTCCTACCAGACAGTCTATTCCTGTTTTCTTTTGCCTTTTTATATTCCAAGTTCATTTTTTCTTTAGTATTAAAAAGGCATTGTGTAATATGGTGTCTAGTGAGTGCAGGACATACTCTATTCCCAAATAAATATTCAAAAATATTTTGCATACATCTTGTGAACAAGTCTTGTTAAATCATAATGTGATGACTTATAAACATTCATCATTCCTATATGGAAGTATAATCTAGTCAACTGTATGGTATAGCAAATCATCCTGACACATTTATATTATTGCACATTTGAATAAGAATAAGAAAGAAATAGTCAAATTTATGTTAAAGACTTCTAAAGGCTTAACAGCATCTTACTAAGTATATATGTCAGCTTAATCTAATCCTCCTAGTTCTAATACGTTCTGTGGTCTCAGCACGGTGCCCATAATGCTCTTGCATGTTATGAGGGATTGCCTCTGAGAAGTTCACCATCAGTACTATACTTTGTTCAATAAAACTTCACATCTGCTCTTAGGATGACAGAAAGCTATCTGTCTCCAATTTGCATTACAAACCTTTAGCTTCTTTTGACATCCATAACACTGGCTGTAATAATTGCCAACCACCTGTAACAATTTGCCGAGTAGATATATTCCTTACTGTGGAATAAGTAAGGAATCTTACTGTGTCAGGTAACTATACATTTCTAATATTTATTTGGACAATTTAAAATAAATGACAACTTCTTTATACCAAAACCCCCTGTATTATCTAATCAGAGGCTCATTTGAGAAGGCCTTTTGCAGTACTTGCTCCTTTCACTCCAATGTTTTTAAGTTCTAATCACAAAAATGCTACCTCTATTTCTTTTCTGTGCTTACACTAGAAGAGACAATACATTTCAATTCAAGATCTTACAAGAGTCATTGAAGACTATTTACTAATCTTATGACATGATGGAAATCCTCCTGAAATTCACTAAACTGAAACAACTATCTTCTTAACCATCTTTCTTGATTTCCGAGCAGCATAATTTCTACCTTTTCTATTACAGATGCATGTCTTACGTGTTTCACATTAAAAATATTTGAAAAAAAAGTGCCTATTATTCCCTGCTAAATTATTAATATTATTTTTCTTCAGCAGAAAATGTCTCTGCTGGCAGATGAACACCCAAAAGGACAGATCTACTTGTGGGATTAACAATGTCTAACACAAGTCAGAGATCAAATGTGTCACTAAAGGATCCTCATACAGATAGTTAGCAACCTCTACTACCAGAGCTGAATTAATAAATGGCAACTGAAAAACTGGTCTCAATATAGACTGCTTTCTGGCAGCCACATCAAGGATACAAAATTTTTTACAAGTCTGCGTATTAGGTCTGCAGATTTACAAATGAAGATCAGCACTTTTCTGCTTTATCCTCTGTTCCAGTACAATGGTATTCTCTGTTTGAAAGTCAGCAGCATAAGTAAATTTTGTCACTCACCTAGACCTACTCTGCAACCGAAAGTAACCTTTCGAGGTAGTAGAAATCACCACTGAGATATCCAACTACTCAAAATATCTTAGGATGAGTCTACAGAAAAAGGTATGAGCAAGTTTTGGCCATGCTCAGAGCTGACAAGACATAGCCCCTGCTACTGTGGAAACCACTACTGTTCCCTCCTGGGATCTGCCCCATTCAGATATGTGCATTCTAGAACAAGACAGGCTCAGGAAGAAAACAGGAATAAACTGGAAGGAGCTATTCAAGGAACAGGAATAAACTGAAAAAGCTGGATTGGAAAATGGAAGGAGCTCTTGTTATCAGAATTTAACAATCTCTAATAACTTGATCTGATCTTATAGAAAGGTTAAAATATCTTGGGATTCAAAAAAAAAACCCTGATACTGTCTCTGGTATATTAAAACTGGGAAACACACTAAAGGAAACAAAGAGTTGCAGTAGCCTTGCCTGTAAAAATTAAAGACTGCCAATAATAACAAAGAAGATAAAACAGAGACTTAATGCCATCTTGCTTATGGACACTGTCAATGAGATACTGAAATTAATGGGAACAAATTGGACACCTCACACAACACTTTTTTAACTGACAGTTAATATATTTGCATTAGTATATTTTAGATTTTGAGAAGTAGAATTATATTACTAGTGCAAAAGACAGTCAAGGACATTGTCCACTAATATGCTGCATCGTTTTGAAAGCTGATGATGCTTCACTGGAGACTGCATGTCTTACAAAGCTCCAAGAACACATATAACCAGTACACTTGAATATGTCCTGTGTCTTAACAATATATTAATAACTGGACTTCTGATTTTAAATCAGAAAAAGTGTATATATGTGTGTGTGTTGTGTATATATATATATATATATATAATATATATATATATATATATATATATATAAGTAGTCCTCTATCAGATAGAAATTATCAGCAAGACACACTTCAGCAACAACCAATTTAATTTGAGAAATTATTTTTTAATATATATCACACTTTTTCTTCCATTGCATGAACTTTCTAGAAATTTTTCCTAAGAAGAAAAATTTTATTTTTAAATTCCTCATCAGTGAATTATTGCTCCTTGGAAATTTAATGTATTCTATATATTCTACAGATTTGCAAGCATGTATTTCTTACCAGTGAGGATAATGATAAAATTGGTATAATGACAGGAATTATTATGACAGTGTAGAGACCTGAACACAACAAGAATGAATATATGACAATCACACAAATCTTTCAATGCCTATGCTATTAGTAATATAAAATGAATGGAACTGAATCCAATTTTTATGCTTGCAATTAATACATTATATTGAGAAATATATTTTATAATGCAAATGAAATTTGTTTGGAAGTAATTATTCTATGGTCTGAGAAATACCAGAAAGAAAGCAGGCGAAACAGTAATGTTAATCCCATGCCAGAAACATGTTTTACGAGGCTTCCTTTTAGCTCTTAAACAAGATGTAGTAAAAACAACAACAATCTGTCAGACTATATGTTCATTCCTTGCTTCCTGGATTAAATATGCTTATTCTATGCCACATTTTTATAGCTTTCAATTCCTGTACTTTAAATCTATTAAACAATGTCAAGTTGAATTTTCTTCAAAAAGTGCTGCAGGTTAAGAAGAAAAATAGGACAGTAGAATATTTGAGGGCTAACATTTATGTCAGCTAATTAATATGGATCAGTTGTGGTCTGCAAGGATTTTTAACGTGTGTGCATGTTTGAGATAAATATAGACTAAGGATCTGATTTTGTTTCTTCTCAAATTGATAACAAAGTTCTTACTGATTTCAATACAAGTATGGTCTACCAGTTTTGTAGGTCTGACAGATAAAATAAGCTTTTGTGCTTTTGCAAAATGTTAGTTGTCCCAAATAGAGCATCGGCCAAAATGCAGATCTACAACATAAGATATAAATTGCAGTTGTAATATTACATTTATTGCTCTGTGTTCTCTTTACTTGGTAAGGGAATGAGATTCTGAAAAAATAAACACTGGGGGAAAACCCAACAAATTTGTTTGGATAGCAAGTTCTATTTAAATAAATTAGTTAGAAATCAGCCCATGTTCAATAGACACCCTCTATTCCAGAGGATACAACACCATGTCCTTATTTTAAAACATTAATATTTCATTATTTATTCTCAAAAGAGCTCCTGCTACAAGACAGAAATAAGTTATTTGAACATGGTTCTACTCTGTGACAAAAAGAGGCTACCAAATTCACAACTGTTGAAACACTTTGAAGCAAAAAATTCATTCTCTCTACACTGAATTCTAAGGTGGATGGATTTCTCTTTCATGGAATCACAGGATAACTGAGATTATAGCAAGATTTTATAATCCAACCTCCTACTCAAAATCAGATGTGAGATTAGAACAAAATAATCCAGGACTCTATCCTGTTTGGATTTCAGGAAGTCCAAGAACAGAGCCTTTCAATATCAGGAACATGCCTGGTAGACAGAAAAAGAAAAAAAATCTATCCTAATTGTAGAACTGTAGAATTATTTGAGTTAGAAAAGGCTTCCAAGATCATTGAGTCCAGCTGTAAATCTAACACTGCCAGATATACCACTAAACCATGTCCACTAAGCATCAAGTCTACTACTCATCTTTCAAATACTGCTGAAGTGGTGACTCCACCACTTCCCTGGGCAGCCTGTTCCAATGCTTGATAACCCTTTTGGTGAAGAAATTATTCCTAATATTAAAACTCAGCCTCCTTTAGTGCAGCTTGAGGCTCTTTCCTCTTGTTGTGTTACTTGTTACTTGGGAGAAGAGTTCAACCCCCACCTGGCTACCAGCTCCTTTCAGGCAGTTGTAGAGACTGGTAGTGTCTCCTCTGAGCCTCCTTTTCTCCAGGCTAAAACTCCCCAGTTGCCTCAGCCTGCCCTCATATAACTTATACTCTCGACCCTTCTCCAGCTCTGTTGTCTTTCTCTAGACATGCTCCAGCACTTCAATGTCTCATTTGCAGTGAGGGTCCCAAAACTGAACACATGACTTGAGGTGTGGCTTCACCAGTGGGGAGTATAGGTAGACAATCACTGTCTTCCTGTTGGCCACACTAATGCTGATACAGGCCAGGATGCCATTGGCCTTCTTGGCCACCCATCCTTAAAGCACTCCTCTAAAATCTTTTATTTTCCAATGAAATCTGATGTAGAAGTAAACAAGAACTACCTTATGTTTAGTATTACACCTGGTTCCTGTCATGGTTAAGTCTTACCTTTTTGTAGTGTTTCAGCATCAAAGACGTGCTCCTTGAAGAAAGCTCTGAAGGACAAAGGACTGCCACTGCAGTCTTCTGAAAGTTTCTCGACAGCTTGTTTAAACATAGCAACTAAGTCATGAAGAGGTCCATCTAAATCAAGGTGAGAAGTAGATGATGAAACCAAGCTCAGGCGTATCGAGATTGATGCACAAGATGCAGAACTAGACTCTACAAATTCACACTCAATTTGGAAACCCTCTGACAACATCTTCATTGCAAAATGTTTTCTTTGGAGTGGATCATCAACGACTGCAACAACATGCCATTCAATGGCAGCATCTCTGGGTAGGTGAGATATTACAACCACAGCAAGCAACCCACATACTGCAGTTTCATCATGATACATCTCTGAATCTTCAGCCTAAAAGATAAACAAAATATTGTCCATATTACAGAGGTGTAGGAATCAATGTTGCTCATATTCGATTAAAATAGTAAAAAAGTACATGCAGTGCAGTTATTTCATGGAAACTGCTTTTCCCCTCAACTTTCCTTATTGGAAAGTCATCTTGAGCAATTATGAATTTATCTGACAGTATCTCCTCATTTTTGCAATCTCAAACCATTACTATCCTTGTAACATTAAAAAAATAACTGATCATAATTTATTTTTCACTCATTCTGCAATCAAGAAAAGTCTTTTTGCATATGGTGATTTTTGTTTGTACCAAAGATTTTTGAAGAATAAAAAAATGGTAGGAACTACCAAAATGAATCAGAAAATTACATTAGATTTTATTTTAAAAGTTGGAGTATGAAAGATTCAGTTCAGATACAGCAAAAATATAGTTCAGATAGTTCTAAACAGCACAATTACCCTGTCCAAACCCTCTTAGAAGAAAGAATGTGTTTTTTTAAATAGCAGACCTCATTGAGAACATACATTTAAATTGTTTTCACATCAACCAGAATGTCTAATCAGCTAACTTGGTCAGCTACATCTGAGTAACTGAGTTCCTTTTTTTCTGATGGTTTTAAATAGCTTTCAAACACCCGAGCAGCTGAAATTTTTTGACCGGTGGATTAGTTTTTCCTTACTTTTCCTGCAATTTTTATGAAGAGACAGTATATAAGCAACTTTTAACATTAGTGACTTACACCATCTTTTGTACACAGATAATAATTTTTTTTATGTGCTAGTTTGCTTTTTGCTTACATTCCAGTATATACTGTTAATATTGCCCATTGCCTGACCTCTGAAAGGAAAAAATAATAACAAGGCAAACCTGTCATTTTGTCTGAAGTCGATAAGGCCATATAACTCACAGTACCTTCAATTCACAAGCTCAATTTTCAACCACTTGCTCTCAACTTTGAGTGGAAGAAATAATGACACATTCCAGGCACTTTATTTCAAAATTCACTCACAAAATTATTGACAAGAATTTTGCACAGAATATCTTTGATTCTTGACCCTTGTGAGCTGTTTACGTGAAAAATGTGCTTACTTCTATATTAACGATAGTGGAGTGCAATTCTATGCCAAACATATAGCAATTACTTTAGCATTTCTGGTTTTGATATGGTAACAGAAATAGGGACAATTTGTCTCAAATTGCAATCACTTCAGTCATAATAAAATCTCATGGAGTACTGTTTGCTTTCAGTACTTTCATTAGGCTAGCCAGGGCTGTTATTAAGGTAGCTACACATAAATGTTATATTAGCACTTAACCGGAGCACAGCATTCTCCTCTAGGAGATGAATTCTAACCTTGTCAATACAACTCTGCTCTGAGTGCTGTAAAACAGTTTGAAAAGATGAAATACTGGAGCTTTGCACTGAGAAAAAATAAAAAAAAGTCATGCTCATTCAGGCTTAAAGGCCATTTTGCTGGCCCAAGGTGCTGAGGTACTGGTTAGAAAAAAAACAGTTTAAAGAAGCTCTCTCAGGTCACATCAAGCACTAAGACAAACTTTTCTACTTCCCTGTACTTGTCTTAGGTTGTTAAATCAATTACTCGCTATTTCTGCTTGCCTTCAGCTGTCATTTATAATATGAAGAACTACATGAAAATTAAGGCCAGGAGAAAGTACATTTCCAAATTTAACAAATGAGAATCATTCTGTGTGAAAGATTACTCATGGTGCACCTGTATGGTACCATAACACTCATAACCTTTAACTTTAGGGTTTGCACAAAGCACAAATGATAGAGTTAGTGGGGACTAATAATCTTTCATCAGTGTCTACAGAATCATATAGAAATACAACTATCAGTGACCTCTTCTGACTTATTTTCAAGAAATCGCTGACATTTGTGTTATACTTGGATGCTGCATTTATGATTTACCTTCCAGAAATGTACAATTTTCTTAAAAAACTGAACAGCTTTATAATAGCCTGTCTAGTAAATGAGGATGAATACGTAAGGTCTGCTAAGAAATTATATCATGCTAAAACAGTGTAAGTAAGTATTAAGAGTGAAAATAAAGATGAATTGTTCTATTGGCTAAATTGTTTTTACAATTGATTCTGCACTCTCATCAATGAGATTCATCACTTCTGGCAGTCAGCTGTGGTAGTTTGAATAAAAACTTGTTTTTAGAGTTCTTGCCCAAGGATACTGTTAGACTGTTCCATAAAGGAGCACAGGTTTGGTCTAGTCTTTGTTCCACAGCTTCAGAGTCTTGATCAGAAAAAAATGAGGAAGAAGAGGTTATAGCTTGGGTTATAATTTTTGAGAAAGAACTATCAAATAATTATTGGGAAGCTCTAAAATTCTTGTTGAAAGACAGAAAATCTGTTGGGGCAAATGCTGTTGAAAGCAGTGATTTCTTAAAAGTATGCACTACCTGAATTTTACAAATTTTTATGAATGTCATTAATCTGTAGGTGTAGTTGTCAACTAAAGATATTTGTCCTTTAACCTCTTTTTGCTAGCTATCAGTTTCCAAATGATTTTGATTTCATGGGAAAAGCGTGTTGAAGTTTCTAATTTCCACTTGTTAGCCTTTCCATTGGATTTAACCCTTTCAAGTAACATATACTACAAGGTAGCTCTGCACTAAGAGAAGTTTGAATGTCAAAGGGGAAAATAAGGAGATCTAAAGGTTCAATGGCTGACTGCTGAGATTATATGGAAAAGATGCTAATTATGTACTATACTTTTACATGATCTGATTTAAAGAGGGCTGGAGAAGGACAGCAAGTAACACCTATTCCGCATGCAGGAGACACGCTCTGAAAATAAATGGTTCTACAATAATGACCTTTTTTCTGGAATGGATGTAAACTGGATCATCTCAGAGACCACACTGTGACAGAATTCCAATTCTGTCATGCTAGGAAATAGCAGATCTCAAAACTTCAGACAAAGATTTGGTAAGACAAGTGATCCAACTGAATCTCACATCAGATTGTCCTCAAAACATGTTTCATAATGTCTTCCCTTTATCAGCAGGATCATCTGCTACTTAATTTATCAGAGATGCAAAAGACTGAGATCCAGATAATTTGAAAAAGGAAGCCAAGAGGCAGATTTTTCTAAGTACATGCATGTATCTATATCATTCCATATATGCATTGTACCTCTGTTATACCATATCCAGAACAGGACTACAAACATGCTTTTTAACGCATTGCTTTACAAAAGCCCCACAACTCAACAAAAGACTTTTCCCACCTTGAGGAAAATATTGATATTCTTCTGCCAATACAATGCATGTTTCAATAACTCACATGAGAAACCAAAGGTACAGAGTACATTTAAGGATGACTGAGAAAGTGGCTCTACTTCTATTGTAAACACTGAGAAAACTGCCATGCTAAGCTAAGTGACATCTTGGAAAGTCTTCATGGACTGGCTAATACAGAATCACAGAAGCTGACAGTCGTTAAGAAAACAAGTAAAGAAAGAAGACAAAGTGGGCAACTTTATGCCACTGTAAAAATTCACAGTTCACCAACAACTTGAGTAAGATAAACAACTCTGGATCTCTCAACTGAAAAAGGGAATACTAGATCCAAAATATATTCAGAGGAGTACAAGCATAATCAAAAGCTCTGGAGGGTCCGATTGGAAATGTTCTGCAGCCTTCTCAATGAGAAGACAGAGGCTTATGAAGTCATACATGACATAAAAAGAGTGGATAGGGATAAGAACTGATTTTGCACACTTGTCTTTCTGTACTAAGAGCTATGGACCATCAAATGACATTAGTAACAGCATGGTTTCAAAATGAGCGATGGAGGGTGACACCTACAACTCCTTGATCGAGAATGCCCTGGTTGCAAGAACTTTGCAGGGATTCAAGGGGAGCCTGAACAAGTTTTTAGAACATAGATTCAGTGAGCATTATAAAAGAGACATAATAAAATTCCTAGATTATTCTGAATTTATATGTTATTAATTTATATAAAGATTATGACTTATATAAAAAAATTTATTTTCTCAACTTAAATATGAATTAAAATAATTTGAGGTTAGGAGAATATTACAGTAGATTTATGCTTTTACTGGTTTTACTATTCACTTCTGCTTAGGGCTACTGTTTGGAGTCAAAATACCAAGCAAGGTCTACACCATGATGGTTATTACATTCTTCAATAAGCATTTATGCTGATATTAGTGGCATGTTTGGTAAAGAACTGGGATCTCTTGTATGGACTCACAGATTTTTCACAATTAGTCTCCTTCAAAATTTCCATGATTCTAAAGGGATTTTATGTTTGTCTGTGATATTTCAGACTGATTTTATAGATGAATTGCAAACACCAAGTCAAGTCGATGATTGCAGGTAACAGTTTTGAGAGCCTAAGCTTCTTCAGCAGAAGTACTAGCACCAGAATATTGGGCTGGAAGAAATGCGAGTTCAGTGTGGTTACTCCTTCTGAGGAAAAAAGGTTCCTCTTCTCCTTTTTCCAAAAGAAGACTCAGATACAGAACTGTAATGCTAGTTAGGGGCACACACATATCTTCTTTTCTGCCTTAACTGATAGAGACAGCATGGACACCTAAAACACAACAGCCCCAGACATGGCCAAGCAGGAGGTTTGTCTGCTTTAGGCACATGCCTAAAGCAGACAAGGAACAAGGGTTTGGAGCTGCCTTACACTGGAGCCATCCAGACAGACTGCTCTGTGTTAACTCCTCTAAAGCAGTTCTGTGATGGATGCTCAATCCCCATCTGCTGAAGTGTACGGATATTTGACTAGAAATAGAAAGGGTCAAAAGGCTTGACTGAATACTTGTTGAAGGCCACAGTAATACAGTTATTTAGCAACATACAATTTAGTAAAGTATCTAAAAATGAGAAACAAGAATGGGAACTTCCTGGATTTTGTATTTCTGCCTAAACTGAATTGAAAAGGCAGATTGGTAGAAACATTCCTTAGCTAACACTTTTATCAACGTGTTTAC